GTGCTAGCTGTAGTGCTAGCTGTAGTGCTAGCTGTTGTGCTAGCTGTTGTGCTAGATGTTGTAGTGTTACTAGCTGTTGTGCTAGATGTTGTAGTGCTAGCTGTTGTGCTAGATGTTGTGCTAATATATCTACTAGTAGATATATATCTAGTAGAAATATCTCTACTAGTAGATATAGCTTCAGCTCCAGCTCCAGCAGCAGATGTATCTCTAGTAGATGCTGTATCTAAAGTAGATATATTTGTAGTAGAAATATCTCTAGTAGATATATTTGTAGTAGAAATATCTCTAGTAGATATATCTCTACTAGATATCATATCTCTAGTAGATATATTTCTACTGGATATATCTCTAGTGCAGTACACATCCAGCTCCAGCCCAAGCTCCAGCTTGTCCAGCTCCAGCTTGTCCARCCCCAGCTCCAGCTTGTCCAGCTCAAGCTTGTCAGCCCTAGCTCCAGCTCTGAGCTGGGTACTGATTACAGTATTGCTTTTGCTTACTACTATGGATTTACGTCACACTGAAGTGATCAACTACGAGCTAATCATACGATCACACGATTGATCATACGTACGGTACGAGGAAAAACCTGAAATAACGTGGTTCGAAATCACATTGAAATCACGTGTTAATTCCACGAAAGTGTGAAATCTGACTATGATCGATCGATTTCACTGCATCGAACACGATTACGATGCTGTTCAATCGAAATCTCCGAGCTCCGTCGGAGCAAGCTCCGCAGCCCTAGCTCCAGCTCTGAGCTGGGTACTGATTACAGTATTGCTTTTGCTTACTATGTATTTACGTCACACCGAAGTGTTCTACTACGAGCTAATAATCCTACGATCACACGATTGATCATACGTACGGTACGAGGAAAAACCTGAAAAAAACCTGGGATCGAATGGGTGAGAAATCACACTGAAATCACGTGTTAATTTCACGAAAGTGTGAAATCTGGCTGCATCGAACACGATATCGATGCTTTCCAATCGAAGTCTTGCTGATACTAGTGATGCTGATATCTATACTACAACTTTGTGAATAATTGAAATAGTTTGAGAAAAAGATATAGTAGTAGTTTAGCAGAAGTAGATCTAGTACTGAAATTACAACAACTACTACTAACTACTTCTGTTTTTCATATAGTAGTAGTAGTATCATAGTAGTAGTACAGCTGTAGAATCTATAGCTGTAGAAGCTATAGCTGTACCTGTAGCTGTAGCTGTAATAGCTCTAGCTCTGTCTTACTATATATTATAGTTGCTTCATAGCGGTGCTTCATAGCGGTGCTTCATAG